TGTACTATTGCTGACGATGGGTGGTTTCAAGAAGTTCTTTGTCTTGCCAATTCTTGGTGATGGAAAATCCAGTGCATAATAATATTTAAATTGGAAAGTCTAAAACTATAGTTCGTTTGCTATAGAAACGCTCCAACACCGTTTCACTTGGAAACTTGTTATTATATGGATAAAGATTTAAGAATCGAATTCGGCAATTATCAAATTTAATTTATGTGAATGAAGTGACGGATCGTCCTACCATATAATGTCATGATGACGTCATATGATGTGATCCAGCACCTATATATCTCACATAAATTGAATTCGGTCTCTAATTCACTACTCTTATTATATATAATATTATTTTTATATATATCATATTTGTATATATAATATAGGGTGAGGTTTAGGGTTAAAACTTTTATATATATATATATATTCTTAGCGGATCAGATTATCAGAATGGATTTTGAAGATCCTATGTTGCCATCCAATCCGATCCCTATGAATTCTTAATTTTTAAATTCGTTGTGGAATCATGAGGGTTGAAAATCCAATTCTATCATGAATTTTTTTGAATCCGACCGAATTCATGAATTCAAATTAAATAAAAACGCCTACCCATATACATAATTTATCCCGCGATTTCTGGTTTTTTGGTTTCATATAAAATATAATATGGACAAATTTCTGAAAACCCCCATTATTTTCAAAAAATGATCATTAAACCCTCACCAATTTTAAAAACCCTCAACAATATAACAACGTTATTATTTTATCCCAATTCTGTCAATTGGCCGTTAAGGGTATGTGAAATGACTAAATTACCCTTATTATATTCTTTTTTATTTAAAAAACAAAAAAAATCATATTTTTGAAATTACAATTTTATCCTTTAGCACAAAACGACCGCGTTTAGTGTCAACATAGGCAGCACTTGTATTGGACATTAAAACGACGTTGTTTTGCTTGCTCCTACCAAAGTAGACGACGGGATCAACTGTAACGACCTAAAAGACACCAAAATAATAATAAAAAAATCAAATAAAAAAATTTCTGCATGATCTCCGCAGAAAATGTTCCTTTACTACCTGTTGAAATATATAAAATGATGCAATAGCCTCACTGGGCCTTAAAAATAACCTATCATGTCCCAAAGCACAATACAGATATTATATCACATTCCCAAGATGGTTACATACATATGAAATGTCCCCTTCATCCATATCATTCAAATAAGGAGTACACTTTAGTTACATCAAGTTATAGTTCATAAAATGTAGCTAAAATTTAATAGTCCATAACTTACAACATTATACTAGTTAAACTAAAGTTTCACAAGATAGTTAATATTACATTTACAAAATATTAGTATTCTAATACAAAAGATAGCAAAATTAAAATAGGTCCCCAAGCTCATCTAAACTTGTGGTGGATCGTCATCCGCCACCTCCTTTCCATATCCTGAAAAATGTTAAAAATAATGAGGTGAGCATAAGCTCAGTAGTGTCTAAGACACACTTCTTATGTCCCCGTGAATCTATACAATGAATAGATGAAAGGTGAACGAGATCATGCAATAGGAAAGCACACATTCTCAACCACAATAACAAGTATGTAACAAATATCAACCAATCACAAGTTTACTACAATGTCATGAAGTGCAATGTTATGCAAATGTCACTCCCCATTTCTGAAACAATTTTGTTTCAACAACCAAACCGTTAGTGTAATCCGACCCAATGCACCTCCATGGCGTCACGAAAGGAAGGTTGGTTAACTATCCACGACCACAAGGCACCTCCAAAACGTCGCATCCGGCCTAGTTAACTCAACTACATTCTCTTCTAGATTACACCAACATCACAGACCACTAGGCGCTTCCTAGGCGTCCGGTTTTCACAAACACTTTTAGAAATACTTTTCCAAAAATTTATTTCCTTTGTTTTGAAAACATTTTTCCCTTTTCTCTTCCCGATGGATGCATGAATGTTTTGTGCTTCTAATCATCAATTCAACTATAGGCTTTCACACATTCCATTTATATCATCATCACAATTTACTAGGAATTTCTAAACATTCATTTATTTTATTTATTTATTTATTTATAACCATAGCATCAATTTTTTTTTTCAAAGCAATAAATAAATAAATAATCATGGGGCATACAATATGTCAACACTGAGCATGCTCATCCACCGTAATGAATTTAGTCATATATATGAATTCAAATAATACATGGAACACACTTATCATTTTGATTAATCATACTTACAACAATCACAAACTAGGTAATCAAAATTAGCATGCTTATGATCAAATTTAAGGGGAAAATTCACATAAAAACCAAGAAGTTGTAAATTAGAATACCCCTACCTTAATGGAAATGAAAACCCCCAAAATTCCCAAATCCAAGCCCTAATTTTCAGAATCCCCAGGCTTGGCCAAATGGTGATTGGCTCCTATCAAATTGAAGGCCTTGATGAGCTCTTCGACTTTGCTTCACAAAGTTCTACCAAATTCCAAAGGAGTAAAGCTAGATCAAAGGTTGAAATTGCAAAAAGAAAGAAAAAAAAAAAGAAATTGCTGAGAGAAGGAGTGATGCAACAGAGACAGAGAATGGGTCTGCGTAATGGCCTTATGGCCTTTTGTTATGTTTTTAATATATTGGTGGGGCCCACTTACTTTTTTTAATAAAAGAATTATTTTATAACTTTAATATATATGTACATATGTATATATATAATTATAACTATTACATCAACGCACGACATGAAAACCAAACTATTTCGATGAGTTTCAGAACAATGACCCATGGGAATTTCTTTATCTCGATCCGGTGAAGTGAAGGACCAGAAAAGTGGGTTTGTTGTTTCCAGCGGCGGAGAACGCTGACGAAGAGGACGACTTTGAACTGGGTGTGAACAAATTGAAGAGCTGCGGCTGTAATAGTCATCTCTTCCAATTATGTCAATCAAATAATGTCAAACAGATTATTTCTATTTAAAAAAAAAAAAAAAATAGCATAAGCCTAACATTTTCCATTATTATTGATATATTAACCCAAACCCAATCCTTTTAGCCCTATAATTAAGACAGCCAGAGAAGATGAGGTTACAGAAATTCTCTCTCTACGTCTATCTTCATATATTCACATAGATATACGAACATATTATCTTACTCTTTCTCTCTCCACAACTCTCTCTCTTTCTCTTTGATATAAGAAATTGTCTTTAAGAGAATTTTCAACATACCATCTGCCAATCAGAGAATTCTCTTTCAGTAAGTCATCATCACTTTAGAAATTGATTTTCTCTTCGGCAACGAGTAGCGACGCGGTCCGACATTAGCTTTCCCTCCCCGACAACGGCTTCGATGTCGTCTGCCCTGTCGTCCTTGATCTCCTGCGCCAACATCATCGCCGTCGCTACCCGGGAGCTCGTCACCATGATGGCTCGCCTGCCCCGCCATTGTTTCCTTCGCCTGATGCACCACCGTCGGTGGTGGTATTGTGCTTGTGTATATATATGTTTGTGTTTGTGTGTGTGGGTATATATATATGTGTGTGTGTGTGTGTCTGTTTGTGTATATATATGTGTGTGTGTGTGTGTGTGTGTGTGTGTGTGTATATATATATTTATATGTGTATATATAAATGTCGCCGCCACTACCATCGTCACTGTTCTCTCTAAAACGTCGCCGAAATATCGCACAACAGTCTATAGGTTCTCAGTTTCTCTCTCTAAAATGTCACCCAAATATCGCTGTTGCAGAGGGAAATCAGTGGAAAGAGGTGGTTTCATTTTTAAAAATTTCTGTAATTAAAAAAAGAAATTTAAATTTAACGATTTAGTAATTCAAATCCCATTTAATTAATGAAGGCAGTTAGATAAAAAAAAATAATAGTGAAAAACAATTGCTCAACTTTTAAGCTAGGACTCAAAGCAATTGCTTTCTTCTTCAACGTGTCGATTTTAGGACTTCTGAAACACTTTTAGGCATGGAGGAGAGAAGAGATGTTTGGGGGTATTTTCGGAATAATACATATAAATATGTATATCACTTGTTTGCACATGTTACATCAAGGGTATTTTCATTACAAAAGTCACATTGGCAAAGCAATTGTTAACCATACGCTGGGTTAACGGCCCAATTTGACAGAATTGGGATAAAATGACGACGTTGTAATATTGTTGAGAGTTTTTAAAATTGGTGGGGGTTTAATGATTATTTTTTGAAAGTAGTTGGGTTTTCAAAAGTTTGCCCATATAATAATAGTAAAAGTAAAAGATTTGTATACATATGAAATATGGAACCCACGGTAAAAATAAATAAATATTTTTTGGGGAGCAACAACGTATGTTGGGCTAGTACTTGGTATGGACAAGGTTTCCTAATTCATTGGGCCTGAATCACATTTAAAATTTAAATTAGATTCTCGTGATTATTATTTTATTATTTTAAAACAATTATGTTCAACTTTACTTACTTCCCCTTCTCCCAAACAAAATTTATGGAATGGAAGTGAAATAAAAAAAAGTAAGGAGTTGAATTCTAAACTCCAAATTTTTTTTTTTTTTTTTAATGATCTAATTTTTTTAGATGAGTCACGGTGTAAAAGATTTAATATTCCATCAAATTGACTATTTTAGAGATTGTGGCCAGCTTCTAAAAATGAGACCTTATAGAGAAATATCTCCCCTTAAAAACCTTATGAGGTTCCATTAGCCCATCTCTATCCTTGCTAGCCTGCTAGGCTGTCTTTGAAACCAACACTTTCGCAGGTGTACACACGCGCCTGCATTAGGCAGTTGATGACTGTGTATATATAAAATCGGACCCACATATAGCTTTACAATGCTCAACTGAATTGCAGTTACGCCTTGGCGCGCAAAACCCATTTAAAAGAACTCTCTGTCAAGAAAGGTCATTCATTTGTTCTGCAAATCTTGTGTCAGAGAGAGAGAGAGAGAGAGAGAGAGAGAGAGTAGAAAAGAGAAGATTGTGAATGTTGAAGAATGGCATCATCATCACCATCATCATCATCGAAGGAAGCTTCGGCCGAAGCAGCAACCCAATCACAGGAAGCAGTCGGAGCTGAAGCACAGAGCCCACTCAGATGTTCTAAACAGACGTTTCTCAACACTTGTGAAACTTCGGATTCGATAGGTGTTAATGAGGCTGAGAACCCTGACACTCCGAGAGACTCTTTTGATTCTTCTCCGTTCCCTTCCTTCTTGAATGCTGTTGCTGATTTGATGGGGAAAGGATCCAAGGCCTTCCAAGATCGTGATTTTTTCTCGGCCGCCAAACACTTTGAGAATGCTCAGAACATCTTGTTAGTCTTTCTTACTTTGATCTTCGATTCTTGTTTGATTATTTGTTAACTTTTGTCATCTTTAGTTTTTAGTTCTACCCAATATATATATATATACTGTTATATTTGTTCATTTAAGAAATTCAATTCAAGATTAGGTTCTTGAGCCAGCCACATTCGAACATTAGCTTCAGTGCTCTGTTTTGTTATGCTTTTGTGGTTTGAATCCATTTTCTACCAGTTTATGGTGTTTGTAATTCAGGATTCTTGAATTAAATAACCCACGGTGAGAAATATCTCATATATAATTCATTGTCCTTTTAATTATTATTAAAATTTTTTTATCTCCAATTAGATCATTTTAGGTTCTGTGACAAAATTTTCATTTTTTCTCCCCTAAATCGTTCTGTCACCTGGGAAAATGGAATTCATTTTCCTAGAACTCAGGTCACGGTCAATTGACAATAAACATCATCCTGGAACCGGGATAAGAAGTGCGGGTAAACACACATACATTACACATGACATTAGTGTGAATATATGCACCTATATATTTATTTATGTATTTTGGATGTGTACAACACTCTGATTTCTTTTTTTGTCCACGCACAAGCTTTTCGGCAGTGCAACAATTCGAACTCAAATTCTCTCTTTTGTTCAGGATTGAAAAAAATGCCATATCTGTTGCTGAATTCGTCACAGCAAAGTTTAAACGCGGTCTTGCCCTGCAAGCTCAATTTCATATAGAAGACAATATAATGATTGAAGCTGTGCCAATGGAGGCAGATTACCTAGTGTATGGATCAGCTATTGTTGCAAAACAAGTTGAAAGTCCGCGTGACGGTTAGTGCCAGAAATTCTTCCACACTTAGCTGATGGATTGTGAAAAAGTCTTGGTTTTTATGTCCAATAATGGTGAGATGTGAACTTTCTAATTGTAGCCTGGTTTTTGTATTTCATGATAATAGGTAGTAAGTCTAAAGGAAATACAGAAGACCTGGAATCTGCCTGGGATGTTCTGCTTGATGCGTGGAAAATTGCAAAAAACGAACCTGGTGACTCGGTGGAGAAGGTGGATATCTTATCTGCCCTAGGGGAGGTGGCACTAAAAAAGGGTAATCTGTCCAATATCATTAATTCGAAATTTTATTGTAACAGGAATCTATCAGCATTTCTCGTCGTAGGAAGATTGAATTCATTCAACCTCAATGTATGCTCCATAATTTTCAGGGAATTATGATTCTTACAAGCACTATGAGGATGCACTACCCATTCTGGAGCATCTGGTTGAATCAGACAATCAACGCCTAGCTCATCTGTATCCGTTAGCTGATTTATTACCTAATTTATCGACTGCTACTTCTGTGTTTTGCTTCTGATATACTAGTCTCCCCTGCTTTTTGACTGATGACAGCCTTCACCTAAAGCTCTCAGAAATTTCAAATTATGTATGTGCATGGCAAATTGCAACAGGCTTACTGAAGCCATTGAATTTTGTGAGAGGGCTATATTAGTATGCAAGAACCGCGTTCAGAGGCTCACGAGTGTGCCTGATGTTGTGAATGTGAATCAGGAGACTCCTTCTAGTGTGCCTGTTGAGGTTGTGATGCTTGAGGCACTCATAAGAGAATTTGAAAACAAGGCAAGCATCTAGTCAAGCTTTGTTTATGAACTTTGGTTTGAACAAAATTCATCTGCAATGTGCCTTAGTAGTGAAATCTTACTCACTTCTCATATTGCAGATTCTGATTCTGCAGGAACGGTTCAAATCATCCCTACCTTCAACACCAAATTTTGACTCACCCGACACAAGAATTTCCCTTGATGGGATCAGTGGAAAACCGGAATATTTCACACCTATGAGTCCCAGCAACCAACCTGGGAGTTCCGAGTTTGAGTCTCCAACAGATTCAGCAAAGAGACAATTATCAACTGATTCAGCCAGCAATGAACAGAGCTCCACACCCGGGAGTACCAGCGAAAACAGCCAGAAATACTATACACCGATGAGTGGTGCCAGTATCCAACCCGGAGGTCTTGAGTCTACTCCTCCAACTGCTCACATAAATGAGACAGATACTGGCGTGGCAGCTAAGGGAGCCAAGAGAAATTTATTGACAGACCCATCCAGCAATGAAAGTACTCCAACAAAGAAACACTCATTGGACCCATCAGCAGAGGAGGATAAGGATAGAACATCTTGAAGATACACTATTTCTGCACATTAATTCTTTCTAACTGCTTACTCTACTCTTAGATGTATAGTCTTGCAGTACATGTTTCCTGATTTCGATCTCTTCCCTGCTTTGCTCATAAGTGGCATCATGTTTCATTTTGAATGTAAAGTCTGTAGGATTGTTGTGCTTCATTGTAGAACATAAACAGATAACTTGAACAAATTTAATCTTGCCATAAAATCAGTCTAAATTTGGTTCACTCCAGTGTGTGCTTTTGATCTTCCATTGAAATTTGTTCTTCAATATTGTTTACAAAAATCTACACATCTCGGTGTTGGTAATCAAAAAATCTGCACACTTCAAAAATGACCCAATGTTATATGACACTATCATGACACGAGTCATCGAAAGCTTTCAATCTCAAAGAGTAGTCCTAAGGAGTAGCAAGCTAGAAATGCTCATATGCATGGTAGTGGTGGTGTCGAAATGGGGTTTCTAAGCAAGTAATGTTGAACCAATTTGGAACTACAATTAGTAGCCAAAAATATATATCACAGATAAAAAATAGAATACAAAAATCTACACATCTCGGTGTTGGTAATCAAAAAATCTGCACACTTCAAAAATGACCCAATGTTATGTGACACTATCATGACACGAGTCATCGAAAGCTTTCAATCTCAAAGAGTAGTCCTAAGGAGTAGCAAGCTAGAAATGCTCATATGCATGGTAGAGGTGGTGTCGAAATTTGGTTTCTAAGCAAGTAATGTTGAACCAATTTGGAACTACAATTAGTAGCCAAAAATATATATCACAGATAAAAAATAGAATACAACTATATAAATATTTAGAGAAATACAAGCCTGCTGCTTGGTTGTCTCATTTAAGCAGACGAGGTCCCAATCTGTAGATATATAAGACCATAAATAATTTCAATAGTATTTTACAAACAGATACATTGCCTGGTTGAGATGATTCAGACAAACTCTTTTTAATCTCTCAGTAGAATTAGGTTTGCAGTAAGCTAGGTTGGCCAGCCATTTCCTCTTTCAAAATTCTGATATGGGACAGATTTTTGGAGGCCTTGGAAAACTTCACGAAACGCTCTGACCAACAATTCGTGAGAAATTTCAATTACTTGACAATCATCACGACATTGTATGTCTGTTCCACCGCATCCATTAAATGACATAGATTCCATCAATAATCCGTTTATGCTTCCAACATGACGATCCGTATTCCACATGGAAGTACCCTTTGGAAAGGAGTTAGATCAGCAGTGACAGTCAAAGCCAAGCCACCCAATAGCTGCTAATTTCGGATCTCCTGAAGCAATTCAATCTTTTAGGCTGCTTTTGTTTTTCTCAGCAAAATAAAATCAGGAAAAGAAAATATCAACAATCAGGAACAAAAAAAAAAAAAAAAAAAAAAAAAAAAAAAAAAAAAAGTGGAATGCAAAGTACTATTTTCGTAATAATGATAATATATTATTATTATTAAAGTATTCGTAACAATGATGAAGTATGCAGCCCATCTGATTTCTCAAAACAACTTGCATGGAAACAAGAAATTAACATATAAAATCACCTTTAGACATCCTGCAGGTTTATTGAATTGTTAAAGTTATAGGCATTTGCTGGAGTTCTTTCTAGGTTGCACACCCTTGTGGTCAGTCTGTAATATTTGTGATTTATATAAATATATATATATATATATATATATATATATATATTTAAATGAAAAGATTTTTAGTGACGTGGGACCCGTCACCATACCTTATCAATTAAAATGACCACAAGGTCATTAACTGACCTCAACCTCTCTCTTCTCAGTTCGTCATTCCCTCTCAGCCTTGTATCAGTTTATTTTTTTATTTATTATTTATTTTTCCTCCATTTAAGCCTAGAATCAAGGCTTATCCTTGAGAATTTGATCATACCACTTAAAACAAGTTAATGAGACCTTCGTTTTGATCGGAGTAATTTCTAGTTTGGAGCACTTTTGAAATTTCAAATTTTATGTCTAATTTGGGGCTTTCCATCTATTTTGACGTTGGGGCGTTCTAACCCACAAATTCTTTGATTTCAGTGAGTTATTTCCTTAAATTTGGCCCAAACATGATTTTGTTGTATTAATCTTGTTATAATCATGAGATGATTTATGTGTTGTATGTGTTTTATGTGTTAAGTGGCATGCTAAGATGAGTTTTTATGAAAATGTGAGCTTGATTATTTAAGTTAATTGCTACACTTGTTATGATAACATGATTGTTAAATTGAGAAATTGATGTGGAGTATTAAATTATTTTTGAAAGCATGCAAGCATGATGTATATGAAATGGATTTACACTTTGTATGTTTGGTATAAAATAATAATAATAATAATAATAATAATAATAATAAAAATAATGTTGAAGAGAAGCATGAATTACCTATTTTAGAGATTTAATTTGCAAAGCATGTGTGAAATTCTATGATTGAATTCATGATTAGGAGCATGAAACATTCATGCATCCATTGGGAAAGGAAAAATGGGAAAAATGTTTTGAAAGCAAATAAAATAATTTTGGGAAAATATTTTTGAAAAGTGTTGCGAAAATCCGGACGCCTAGGAGGCGCCTAGTGGTCCTTGGTGTTAGTGTGATCTAGAGGGGGTTAGAGAGAGACTCTAGTGTGGTTAAGCTACCCAAACGACGTCATGGATGTGCCATGTGGTCGGGGAAGACTAGCCAACCCCTCCCTCGTGATGCCTTGGAGGTGCCTTGGGTCGAATTACACTAACGGTTTGGAAGTTAAAATGGAAATGTTTCGGAAACGAGGAGTGACATGAGCATGACATTGCACTACATTGGCATATATGGTGTATTTGTGACTTGGATGACAATTGTGCTTATATTGGAGGTTGTGGTTATGGTTTACATCCCCGGTATAGTATGATCCCATTCTCTTGTTTTCTATTCTATACGTGGATTCACGGGGTCATAAGAGGTGTGTCTTAAATACTTCCTACCGAGCTTATACTTATCCCTTATTATTAACATTTTTCATGATACGGAAGGGAAGTGGCGGACGACGTTCCTCCACAGGGTTCAATGGGTTAGTAGATCGTTTTGACATACTTTGTAACTATGATCTCATTTTATTACTATTATTTATTTATTATTATTATTATTATCTTATAAATCTTGGGATGACACGTATATTATGTATTGACATAGGAAAGGACGGTAATGCCCTTAGTTAACCTTGGGTTCGGGTAAGGACTTGGTTAGCGATTTGGACCATCGGGTTCGGGTTGTTACAAATTTGGTATCAGAGCCATGGTTCGAAAACCATTAGGACGACGGGAAGAGGCCTTTCTAGGGTTGTGTGGAAGATGGATTGAATTATTTATATGCTTATGTATTAAAGTATTTGTTATTTGATAAGCCTGCTTATTTGATTAAGTGCTTATGTGTTTACAATTTCAAAAAGGCGTGCTTATTTGCTAAGTGTTCACATGCTTTTGTGTTTAATTGCTAAAATGTGTATTATATGGCCATGACGATGAAATGTATAAATAGTTGAAAATATATTAATTATGTTATGATTACAAGTGTGATTTAGGTGGTAACGACAAATGGTAGGCACGATGTGTGCAGTTTTATTTTAAATGTTAATGTGACAAGTAGTAAGCACGGTAGGTGCAAGCATGTCTCGTATGTATTGTGGTTATTTAGGCATGGTTAAGCAAGTATAAAAAAAAATAATAATAAAAAAAAATAATAATAATAATAATCATAATAATAATAATAATAATAATAATAATAATAATAAGAATGAAAGATGGGGTGTTTAATTTTTTTTATTTTTTATGATGGGACACAAATATATTTTGGTATAGGGTATGGTTATTATGTATGTGTGTTCACGTGTGTACATTCGGTTGGGTACGGGATTGTTGCTAGTACGGTAGAGTACTTGTTGCGGCATTGATGGTTGTGTGAGTTTTGACCTGAGTAGGCGAGGAGCTCGGTTGCTCGAGGGTTGTTGGATATCGGTTCTTATCGAACTAATGGCGTAAGTCTTTAGCTCTTGGATCGAGCTATTTGGTGCATGGTTGCTTCATTTTTCTTCTTGTTTTTAGGGTGTAGTGCTTGGGGCATAGCATAGTGCGATGTCCGGGGTGAGACGTACAAGTTTCAGGTGTTAGTGTACGGATTTTTGTGACTGTGGAGGTTAGGTGTGCACTGTGGGGGAGGGGTATGACCTTAGGGGCTTAGTATTTGTGACTTGGGTCACGATTTGGTACTGAGGTTCTCTTCGAGTCAATTTATGGCGAGTGTGATAGAGGTTGCTTGAGTCATGAGTGTAGTCTATGGATTGTGAATATGTATTTCGAGCATTTTGGAACGGCTTAAGGAAGTGTGTTGGTTTTGACTATCGTGGGAACTTGTTGGATTCTGTAGGTCTATGGTGATTTAGGACCGGTTGCCGGATGTAGATCATTTCATGGTCTTGTAGGAGTCTATTTTAGAGACTGGTTTGTCGAGGAGTGATTCTCATTTCGAAGAGTTATAGGAGTGCGTTTTGGGTAATCGACTCTCGGTGAGTCGGTTGCATGGCTCGGTTGATGAGCAGGGTTCTGGGTTGGCGCGGCTGTCTAGAGAGTCTTGAGGTGGTGTATAGTGGTTAGTTTTAGCTGTGTAGTGTAGGATTACACAATAAAGCAGGTAGTATGGGGTCATTAGAGTGTTTGGTTGTTTGCGGATGAAGTGATAGCTGGTGAGTATTGTGTTATCAAATGAATTGTGTTTTAGAATTTGAAAGTTGTGGATTAGGGTTGTATTTCAGATTGCGTCTGGAGTATCAGGAGATAGTGTTTGTTGTTTGAGGATTCGAAGAGATAGACTAATGATTGTTGTGATTGGGGCGAGGTTGATCTTGTAGGTTAGTTGGTAGCCCTATTTGATTTTTTGTCGGGGCTAAGGATGTTTTAAGGAACGGGAATGAGGAAAAGTAATGATGTTGAATTGAGGGTATGAAGTT